CCAAGATTAATCCAGCCGATTGTTTATCTCGTGGTTTGTCTTTGGAAAAGTTGAAGATGAATAAACTTTGGTGGAATGGTCCAACTTCATTTTCGGGAGAAGTTAGTTTGGATAAGGCAGTCGTTCTTGCGAATGTTAGAAGAAGTTCATCAGAAATTTCTATTGAAACAAATATATTTGAAAGAATNCCGAAACAAAACGTACCATTCCTCAGTTGGAATTAGCAGCAGCTTTAGAAGGAAGTCGTTTAATGGCTAAAGTTTTAAAGGAGTTACCACATTTGAAGATTGGTAATTTATTCTCTGATTCAATGGTTACGTTGGCGAGAATTTCTAGTAATCCGAAAAGTCTTGGTGCTTTTGAGTCGAATCGTATAAGAGAAATTCAAAGTTTTGGCAATCTTCATATTTGGAAATTTATCCCAACCAAGATTAATCCAGCCGATTGTTTATCTCGTGGTTTGTCTTTGGAAAAGTTGAAGATGAATAAACTTTGGTGGAATGGTCCAACTTCATTTTCGGGAGAAGTTAGTTTGGATAAGGCAGTCGTTCTTGCGAATGTTAGAAGAAGTTCATCAGAAATTTCTATTGAAACAAATATATTTGAAAGAATCTGTAATCTCAAATTTAAGAAGGCATTATTGGTGATCGAAAGATTGTTAGCTTGGATGTCTTCAAGAGTAGAAGATTCCCAGAGAATCCATTATCAACCATTACTTCAACTACTAAAAATAGTCCAAAAGAATCTTTTCAAAAATGAATTTCAACATCTGTTTCGTCAGGAGCCTTTTCCTAAAGATTCTCCGCTTCATAAATGGCCAATTTTCTTAGATGATGACGGCTTAATTCGTTTAANCATTTTCGGGAGAAGTTAGTTTGGATAAGGCAGTCGTTCTTGCGAATGTTAGAAGAAGTTCATCAGAAATTTCTATTGAAACAAATATATTTGAAAGAATCTGTAATCTCAAATTTAAGAAGGCATTATTGGTGATCGAAAGATTGTTAGCTTGGATGTCTTCAAGAGTAGAAGATTCCCAGAGAATCCATTATCAACCATTACTTCAACTACTAAAAATAGTCCAAAAGAATCTTTTCAAAAATGAATTTCAACATCTGTTTCGTCAGGAGCCTTTTCCTAAAGATTCTCCGCTTCATAAATGGCCAGTTTTCCTAGATGAAGACGGCTTAATTCGTTTAAAAAGAAGAATCGATAACAGTGAATTATCTTTTGAAGAAAAATTTCCGATAATTTTATTTGATTCTCCGATTGTCAAAGACATGGTAAAAGAGTTTCATATAAAGTTCTTTCATGCAGGAATTTCTAGAACCATATTTGAGTTGAAGAGATATTTTTTCATTCCAAAAATCTATTTCATGGTGAAAAGTTTGGTTATTAATTGTCCAGTGTGTCAACGTTTTCGAGGGAAAAGCTATTCTTTTGTTTCTCCTCCTTTACCAAGCGAAAGAGTTAAAATTCCTGAAAAAGCATTTACAAATATTGGTATCGATTTATTCATCACAAAAAAGATGAAAGTAGCAAAGATTTTGGGAATGATTTTTGTCTGCGGTAATTCACGTGCTGTTCATTTGGATATAGTCAACAACAAGAACGTAGAATCAATTTTTGAATGTTTAAGTCGTTTCATCGGTTTCTATGGTTTACCTAAAGTAATTTGGTCAGATAATGAAAAAAGTTTCGTTTCTTGTGAAAAGAGCATCTCTGCCAAGCTCAATTATGCAAAGAAAAATCTACCAAGGAAGTTCAATTTGGTCTGGAATTTCAACCCCCCGGCAGCACCTTGGTACGGTGGGTTTTACGAAAGATTAATTCGATCGGTCAAGTCTAGTCTGCAGATTTTTGAGTGCAGAGAAAATAAAATCACTGCCGAGAATTTTAGAACCATTCTCGCGGAAATTCAGGGATTGATTAATGATCGTCCACTCTATGTCGATCAGAATGGGATCTCGGTAACCCCTTTCCATTTGATCTTTGGGAGAGGAAGAAGTTCGATTTTTCAACCAACAACTATTCCAGAAACAAACATTTCGACACTTTATGAAAGAATTTCTGGAACTGTCTCCGACTTTTGGAAAAGTTGGTCAAAGGCTTATCTGATCGAATTAGCCAGCTTTTCTCGTGAAAGGAACATCGTTCCACAAATTGGAGATTTGGCTTTTCTCGTTGATAATCAAAGAGAAAAATCCCTTTGGCCAATCGTTCAAGTCTCTAAACTGTTTAAAGAGGGACGTGAAGCAGAGGTTCTGGATCTTATAACCGGAAAAAAGTTTACAAGATCCGTTCGTTCTCTCATCCCGTTTGAGGGAAAATATTGTGAATTCTAAATCCAATTAATTGATTTAACAACAATCGCTCTTGATTTATTTAAATCAAAAGCTACTTTTATGTATTTCTTTTAACCCAGAATTATTTTAATATTAAAGTTATATTGTTTCTTTTATTATTGTGTTTAAGTTTTTGTTTTTTATA